GGTATCATCTCACTCCAGTTAAAATAGCAGTTATCAAAGCATAATGCTAGTAAGGCTGTGAAGAAAAAGAGGCTGTACACTGTTAGTGGTAACATAAATTAGTGTAGCTACTACAGAGAACAGTATGGAGGCTCTTTAAAAAACTAAGGATAGGGGCCGGGGATTTAGCTCAGTGGCACAGCACCTGCCTCGCAAGTGCAAGGTCCTGAGTTTGATCCCCAGTACCAAAAATAAAACAAACAAACAACTAAGGGTAGAACTACCATAGGATGTAAAAATTCTACTTCTAGGTGTAGGAGTATCTCCAAAAGAAAGAAAACAGCGTACCCCAGATCCCTCCACAGCCTTATTTATTACTTTGACTAAGATGGGAATCAACCAAGATGTCTATTAGCAGATGAATGGATTAAAAAATGTGGTATATAGAAAAAATGTGTTATACAATGGGATATTACTCAGCCATAAAGAAGAGTGAAATCCTGTCATTTGCAACAAAATAGGTGAAACTGGAGGACATTATGTTAAGTGAAATAAACCAGATACAGAAAGACAATGCTGCATTTCTTTCATATATATAGAAATTATTTTAAAAACAATTATTTTAAAAATAGAATAGTGATTACTAGAAGTTGAGAAAAGAGTGAGAGGGTAGTAGTTAAAGGGAGCCTGAGTTTGCTGAGTGCTTGCTGTATGAATATATTGAAATATTGTACTGAGTCCCATTAATGTGTTTAATAAATATATGTCAATCAGAATTACACTAGATACTCTAAACACAGATACATTAGCCTCGGCCAATAGGCTCAGGGTCAGCGGTATCACTGCTTTCTGCATCTGTATCTTGTCCCACTGAAAGACATTAAGAGAGCCTTTATCATGGTGAGTCTCTTCTGTCACAGGGAGCTGTCATCTCCTACGAGAACTAACTTCCCCTGCTGTCCTCCCTAAAGGATCTGTCTGAGGCTATGTTCAGTCAGTTGTTTTTTCTAAATAGAATCAATGAACTCTAAAACAACAATAAAAGGTATGATATAGTAAATACGTGGGCCAGTAACAGTCATTTATTATCACTGTCAAGTTTTACCCACTTACAAAATTGTGTATCCTATACCTTTATATGATTGGCAGTACTGTATGTATGTTTGTTCCAGCATCTCTACAAATATGTGCTGGGCCATAAAGGAACTGTTAATACATTTCAAAGGATTGAAATCATACTGTGTATTTTCCATAGTGGAGTTAAACTAGAAGTAAATAGCAGAAAGATAACTGGAAAATCCCCAGTTTTTTTTTTAGAAACAACACACGTCTAAACAATCCATTCCATGAGTAAAAGTATTCACAATAAAAGTTAGAAAATATTTTGCTGTGAGTCAGTATTAAAACTTTGAGGAAAAAACATTTTTTTGAGACAGTCTTGTTATGTAGTTCAGGCCAGCCTTTAACTCACCATGTTGCCCAAGTTGGCCTCAAAATCATGGTGATCCTCCTGCCTCAGCCCCCCAACTGCTGGGATTACAGGCATATATCACCATACCCAGCAAAAGTTTGGAACACAATTAGAGTAGTACTTAGAATTACAGAGCTTTGAATTTGTATGGTTAGAGATAAAGTTAAAAGGTAGTGATCTAATCATTCATCTAAAAGCTAGAAACAGAAATGCAAATTAAATTCAAATCAAGTGGAAGACTAAAACTGAAGTAAAGAAAGTGAACATAACAGAGAAAATAAACAGAGCCAAAAGTTATTTCTTTGAAAATTTAATAAATTTAATAAACCTATACTAAGGAAAAGAACAATAAAGTACAAATTAATAATATAAAGCTAAAAAGGGAACTTTACAAGATATCCAGGAAAAATGTTGATATAATTGACAGCTTATACGTATCAAGAAAATCCCTTGGAAAACACAACATACTAAAATGACACAAAAAAGAAGCACCAAATCTGTATAGTTTGCATATCTACTAAAGGCATTGACTCCGTATTAGCAATCTCTCCTCCTCTAGTAGTACTTTTCAGCGAATTAGGGCTCGGCCCTAGGTCCTGGGGTGTTTCTAGCAATTCAAAGGTACTGTAGCTGGCGAGCTCTGCATTCAGTGCTCTCCCCATGTAGTTTCCCTCCAACTGCTTTCCATGTACCTGTATTTACTTTGCCTCTCTCTTGTTGGAGTTTGAAGGGAGGAATTAATTATACTACATTTTTGTTTTTCCAACTTCTGAACCCTTTGTGAAATAGGCTTTATTCAGGATTAGAATGAAAGTAGCAGTTTTATCTGTGGGGGGAAACTAGATACAAGAGTGAGCTCAGATTAGTGTCTAGTCTTCCCACCCCTTCAGATGGGATCGAATTCACTTGCCCTGTTGAGTTTACTGTGTGCATGACAGGAGAATCCTGCACAGGTGTTGGGCAAGCGAGTACTGAGAGTCATATGCTGGTTATAAATGTGGTCAGCTTTTTTCCTCGTAAGACAGGAGAGAGAGAGACAGGGAGAGGCAGACAGACAGATAGACAGGGGGAAGGGGAGAGGCAGAGAGGCAGGCAGGGAGGGAAAGAGGGGTGAAGACAGACAGACCCCACCCTTCGTGGCACCCACGGTGCGCTGATGGTCCACTTCTGCTTCCTGTGCCTCCTGTTCTCCTCTATTGTGACATGTTCTTACAGCTTTGATCCTTTCCTGTAGCTCTTCTCTCTTCTGCAGAAATTTAAACCTGGATTTCATACGCAGTGCCAAGATTTTTCTCCACAAATGTCTCAAGAAAAAGCATGACAGTTTTTAGAATAATAGATCTTGTAGTAGAGTGGATGTGCTCCTTCGCTCTGCATGGCATTTCAGGGGTCATGTGACACCTTTATTCTCAGGTTGCTTGTCTTCTAAATCTTACACTACCAACTCCCCTTTCTCATTCCTTTTCTTGGTTGACTTCCAGGACATTGCTTGGACTTGCTCAGTGATGTTAGCATTAGACTTGAAATTGTCATCTTCACCCCAAACTATGTGATTACAATGTTTCTCCAAGTTCATTTTCGAGTCTCTGATACGCAGAATGTGGTTTTCAATTTCATCAGTTCTATCAACCATAATGGTTCCAAGATCTCAAATACTGAACACCCCTTTTTTCCTTTCTCCTCTTCTCTGGCAGTGTCTTTCTCTCAAAGTCGTAAGTCCTCCGTCCCTAGTTGGGTATGGTGGCACACACCTGGATTCTAGCACTGTGCGAGGCTGAGTCAGGAAGACAGAAAGTTTGAGCCTGGCCTGAGAAACAAAGTGAGACTCTGTCTCAAAAAATATAAAAGGGTCGGGGATGTAGTTCATTATGAAAGCTCTGGGTTCAATGCTTGGTACCGCATTAAAAAAAAATCTTCATTTGTCTCTTTCTCTCTTCTCTTCCCTCCTCCTTCCTTCTCCCTTTTGCTCTCTCCCTCAATAGATGGCCTTGCTGCTGGATCTGAACTCCCTCAACATTACTGCATTACACACAGAATTTTTTAATATCTATCATCCACCCTTCTAGTCATAGAAAAGTCCTCTTTAACATGGCTAACTCCTGCAGTTTTGTTCTGTCTTCTCTTGAATTTATTTCATATTTATTACTCTCCCTTTCAATACCAACAACAATACTCTTAAAGATTCAGCTTCACTTTCAAACTATGCCAGGCTTTTTAGAAGAATAAAGTTTCCTAGTTAATTATACCCTTAAAAAAAAAACATCTCCCAATTAGTAGACATTTTTGTTGCTTTCTCGAAATTTCTTTGTAAGGTCACCATGACTGGTCAATTACTTTCAGTCCTCCTTCTGCCGGTTAGAGGAAGGACGGGGCACTCCTTTCTTTCACTCCTCTGTGCTTTCATTTGTTGCTATCTGTCATCTGTGGAGGGCCCTTCCTCAAGTAATTGAACCACATAGGAGCTGAGCTAACCATTGCGTTGACTTCGAGCAGTCAGAGACCATACAGAGGCTTCTGAAGTGGCACCTCCATAGAGAAGTGAGAGCAGCACTCTGGTGACTGAAGACTGGGGGCTGAAGTTCTAGGACAGGACATCAGAGATGAAGTGAGCCTTTGGCCTGCTTGCTTGATTTCTTAAGGTTAGGGTTGATGCGAACAGCGTGTGGTCTCTTGCAGCCCAAGAATCTTGTGTTTGGGACTGTGCACCTGAAGGTTGGTGATTGTTCCAGTTCTCAGTCTTGTGTAATTGATTGGGTGCATACTCTGGTTCTCACTTTGAAGCACACCTTCTGTGAATTTTTAATATTTTACTTCAATACAAGAAGATCTCACTGCCTGTTGACTCTTCTCACGGTTACTCATATTCCTAAATGAGCCGTGCTTGAATGTGTTTGCTATGGAAGACCCTTTATGGCTCTGTTTATGTATAAAGTAAATGCACAGGTACTGAATCTAGTATTTAACCTCGTACCACAGGACCTCAACCCAAACTTCCAGTCCTTACCTTGGTGTCATTTACCCCTCCCTCTTCTCCCTCTGTTTCCACCCAGAACTCAGAGCTTGCCTGCATGTTCCTGTAGTAATTCAGTCTCTCCAAAACACCACAGTGCCTGTATCACTTGCAATACTTACATTTGTCATGACATGGAGTTATTCACGTTTGTCTCTTCTGGGATTTATGAGTTTCTTGAGGACAGAAACTGTCTCTTAATCAACTTTATATCTTTCTGATCACCATCGTACTGAATAGGGCTCAAATGTTGGCCAAGTTTTGAGGAGCAGGCTTAAATACCTAATAATACATTGTCCTGAATTTTTAGGAGCTTGACATAAAATGTATGAAGGGATGTATTATATCTCCTATTTTAGAAGTCTTTGAGCATGGCTCAAGATTTTTATTTTAGGTTCTTAAATTATATATAGTATAATGTCAGTTTTATAGTACTTCATATATCCCTTCTATGATTATTCAGGTGTAATCAGCTAATTGGTTCTGCAAGGCACTTATCAATTCTTTTAATTTCATTACTTCCATTACATTTGTTTTCAGATAAAGAGAAATGCCATGTGTCGTCAGATACTGAAGTTGTGAAGTTAGAAGACATTTGCTAAGTCAGATCACCTCAAGTAAGTCTGCTCACATCTGAACACCAGGTTAAGACTGGCCTAAAAGCAAAGAATTAAGCTTACCACCATTGACACTATTAATGCTCAAATTTCTTAGAATATCATGTAGTCACCTTGTATCTTGAATCACCAACCTTGGAAAATAGTGAGAAGATAATACTTTTTATTAAATTTCATGTGCATATAAAAATATAATGTTTAAACTCATGATATTATTTAAAAATGAGACTAATATCTCAGAATCATCTTTTATTTTTATTAAGTCTAGTCATAAAGTCTTAACTACATGCCAAACAGTGATTTTTAAAATCATTTTTCCATTGTAGCTAATATTTCATTTTTCAGTTTTTTAAGTTTTCATACAACTTTTCTAAGTGATTTATGTATTCTCATTAAAGGATATAACTTATTAATTAACTAGCACTTGAACTTTAAACATTTAACTATTTGTTTAAAAACTTGGCTGTGGAAGGTCATTTTAAAAGACCTCAACTTTTAGAATTATTATCTAATGATCTTTCATTCTGACTTCCTGCATCCTGTGTTCTGCTGCCACATAAACCCACACACAGAATCATTTTAGTAATTTAAAAACCTTACAGTGGTTCTCAGCTTCCTGTAGAAGGAATGCATGCTCCTTTGCCTGGCATTCAGAGCCCTCTACCATGCTCCCCAAACTTGAGTCAGCTGGACTTTTTTCTCTGAACTTGTGATGTCTTCATGCATCTCTCTTGACTTGCAGTGTTTCTGCTGTCCTTGCTCCCCCTTGCTATCTCTTCTGTCTTTCACTCCCTTGGAAGCCTCTTGTGAAGCTCCCCCGGTTCCTCCAGCTACAAGCACTGGCTCTTTCCTTCTTTCTCTGCTGACTGCATCTGATATTTTGTTTTTGTCACTGTTACAGCACGTTTTACCTTGCAACTTTATTGTTCATGTTTGTTTCTGTAATATCTCCCATCTAGATTGTACAGCTATAAAACCAAAAATCTTGCAGGTGCATATGGTCCACATTCGTGGCAATGATGATTCCTTCTTTTATTTTATTTTATTTTTTTTTTGGTACCGGCGATCAAACTTGGGACCTTGCGGTTGTGAGGCAGACGGCGGAACCACTGAGCTAAATCCCCGGCTCGATTCCTTCTTGTTATATACTGTTGGCTGCCATCTTATCCTAGGAAAGTACTGACTAAGAAATAAACTGTTCCACAAGTTCCTGCCTCATTCTGCTGTTTGGAATGCAGAAAGATTTTACCATCAAAACGATGTTATAAATAGTGGTTACATTCTCAGCCAGATCTCCAAAGATTGTTTAACTCATAGATACCAGCGCTCTGTGACTGCAGGCCACCACCATGTACAAAGCTGTGCTGTGGAGAATCTAGCTCTGGATAAGAAAGTGTATCTTCCATGCTGTAGAAATGGGACTGGAACTTTCTGGGCTATGAATTGGATACTCTCCCACCAGTAGCTTTTCAGTTTTCAGTGTTGACCTGTAGGTCCCTGATACTCTCATGTCATCTAAATAGAGGGGGAAAGGATGCTTGCTCATCTGGTCCCCCCCACGTTGGGTTAGGGTGAGGTTTCAGGTGTCTCTTCATCTAGATGAATCTTTTGTAAGTCAGACATTGACAGATCAAAAACTATTTTACTACTTCCCCTTTTTGCTCTTATACAATCAGCAGGAAAAAAAATATATGGCAAATGTATAAACATGGAAAGTATTTCTATCTAGATGGAGAAAGCCCACATTTATAGGTATCATCCTTATATTTGACATCACATCAGTTTTTGTGAACAAGTGATTATCATTTCTATGCAAGCATCATTACCTGATGATGCTTTTAGTGAAAAACATGTCAGTACGTGCATAAACAACCCTCAAGGCTGACAATTCAGGTTGACAGGCTGTAAGAAAAAACACTTCATAAATTTTGGAGAATTTAATTTATTCAGTCACCCTAAGTATTGAGCACGTGAGGATGTACTTTATGCTTAGCACTGTGGTCATTGCTGGGGGCGGGTAGGGGATAGGAGCAAAAGATGTCACTAAAAAGTTTGCCTTCTCTTGGGCCCTGAAAGACAGAGCAAAATATTAAAGAAATATTCACAGTGAAAACAATATGATTAATTGCCATTAAATACCTTATAAAGGCAATGAGTGCTCTTAGGACTATCAGAAGGGCAACATTATTATGATTTGCCAGGTTCTAAAAATAGTGATGGGATTTTGCTTCATTTCAGAAGAATGGTGAAAATGTAAACAAAGAGCTAAAGAGGAAATGCTATTCCAGCTTGGATTAACAGCATAAATACAGAGCTGGAAACACAAACAAACAAGCAATCATTACTGGCTGGCGCATGTTGGCTGAAATAATAGGTGGGAAAATTAGATCAGTGGTTCAGCCTTGGCAGTACATGAGAGTCATCCAGACAGCTTTAAAGCTGTAAGTCCCTGGATCTTACTCCAGAACTGTTAAAGAGAATTTCTGGGACATGGGGCCTAAGCCTATTTATTTTTTTAAAGCTCCCCTAGTGGTTCTGATGTTCAGCCAAGGTTGAAAACTCCTGAATTAGAAAGATGGGCCAAATTTAGGAGAGCATGAATGCCCCGCTGAGTAGTTGGGCCTCTGTCCCTCAAGCAGTGGGAAGCCCTCAGAGGGTTCTGAGACAAGTGACATGACTGAATTGGTGTTTGCCAAGATAAATGATTCCTCAACTACACGTGAATGGAAGAGAAATAAGAAGCAGCTTGAATTAGAGCAGTGTGGTAGTGTGAAAAAGAGAAGAGTCATATTTTTAAGTGTGCTTAGATGTGTGGGAGTTAGTGATGTCAGCCTTGACCTCAACATTTGTTTTATAAACTGATTATACAACTTCACCCTCATTAATTTGATCTCTTCTCTTACAACCTGGCAACTTAAACAGTAATTTCTGCTGGTTTGCATTTAATGGAAGGAGGCCATTGTCTGCTCATGCACATGTCTAGCTCGTAATAGTAAGTGAAGTTATGTGTATAAGGAATATGACCTTTAACATAATCATTACAAAGCACTTAATAACCTTTCCTGTATGCGGTAATAGCCCGGTTCTGAAGGGTCGTGCCAAGAGCCAGAGTCACATGAATAAAGTACTTGTTGGCACACAGTTCTCTAGCATTAAATTGAAATTTGATGAAATGTTCTAAAACATGCTGTGCATTTTCTTATTTTAGCATTTCATTTGATAATTGCTTAATTTTCTGGTGGCAGGCCTAGGCATGGCTCCTGACTAGAGCACCTCTCCTATTCTGAGCTAGCGCTGTTCTCCTTGCCCACTTCTGTAGTCAGTTCAGCCCCTCAGCTCCCATTCAGTTCTCTCTTCTGCTGGTGTCTGTCCATAGTGCCTTCAAGCCAGCAGAGTGGGATCCTAAAGGAGTCAGGATTTCAGCTGTGGCAAGAACATACCAGTTGCTCCTAGCCTAAGTAGGACATAATAGCTGCTGAGGTACCCACATTTGGAAGTCCCAAACTATACCATTGGTTGGAAACTTTTCATATCTCTTTGATGTGTTTTGAATTTTTTATGTTTAGAGACAATGAGTCATATTCATTAGATAGCAGAAAGTAAGTTCAAAGCATGAAGTTTTGACATGACCCAACTCTTTTGAAAAAAGACTCAGTGTCATGAATTTTTAAAAATAACTGCTTTCTCAGCTATTCTCTGATGGTATATACATGACAACAGTTTCTACTGTGATCTTTTTTGTCTGTGTCAGTGGATTTGTTTCATCAATATCTGTAGGTTCTTTTAAAATAGATATTTAGATTTTCACTGATCACTCAAATGTCTAAGCCGAGCATTGATGGTTTACATACTGTTGAGGGATCTGGTACATACTGTTGAGGGATCTGGTAGGAGAGTGGGAGAAAGGAACTAACATTTATCAAGTGCCCACTCTGTACCTTGTGCTTCACATGTATGTATTTATCATTCGGACTCCATTTTCCAAATGAGAAAATTGGGATTTAGAAAGGTTTAAAAAACTTGTCTGGGTCCAAAATTAAAGTCAGCAGTAGAAATTAGTTTTGATTGCAAGTCTAGCAGTCTGTCTGTCTAAACAGCCTGGTCTTGTAAGTCTGTGTAAATTTTATTTGTAGGGGAAGATCAGCAAACTCAGAATCAGGAGGTCTGAATACAGACTTCACCTCTATCACAGACAATGTTGAACAAGTTGTTTCGTGCTTCTGAGCTTCAGTTTTCTTATCTGTCATATGTTTTTAGACTTTGTTGAACACATGGGGTATTTGTGAGAATGATAAGCTGGTGAGAATCCATATTTTATAGGCATAAAAACCAGTGAAAATTTGAGAGATTTTTAATTCAAGAAAAAAAAAAAAAGAACAAAGCAAATGTTAGATGAAATGTCTTAGACAGATTTTGTGGTATTTTACTTCTTAGCATTGCTGCAAACTTTCCAAAAATAATGTTGGTCACTTTGCAGGCCCCGAATGCTATGGTATGCCAAACTTCATCACTGTCCACTTAATATCTGTGCAGCAGAGCGAGTCTTGGCAGTGTATCCAGGGCCTCCTTTTACTTACCAGAAGCAGTCATTTGTTCCTATGCCATCCCAAATAGTTCTGAATTCTGGTGAATGCTTGGTGCCAGTGAGGATTGTAAGGTACGAAATAGCAGTATAACCTATTGGTCTTGAGGTGGTGTTAGCATTCTCAGAAAATGAGAAAGGTTTAAAGTTTTTGAAATTTCGGAATAAATCTGAAGGATAAAGTCACATTTTTTAAAACTGTTTTCATAAAACTGCTTCTCAAAAATGTCTCTGGGTGCCTGGGCAACTTTTATAGGTTTCAGGATGGTGGGTATTGAAAGACAGTTATGAGCTACTATAATCTGCTTGTGCTTCCTTCAATTATATATAAGAAATTTGGAGGACTTACTGAAGTATGAAGGCAGTACTGCGAATGAAGTGGCAGTGAGCCTGAGAACTACCAAAGTTATGTCCTAGAGGCTCACCCAGTTAAAGCTCTGGATTCTACCTGAGAGGCCCCTGACAGAACAGAGGAGCGGTGTCAGACCTCAGATGGAGATCCAGAGGCGTGCACCCCTTGGCGTGGGCTTCTGACATGTACACAACTCTTCTCTGTTGGCCACACTGAGTACATCCCAAAGAGGAGGGACTCCTAAGCTGCTGACTTCCGTGTGGCTCACAGGGCCAGTGTGGTGCCTGCTTCCCGGGTCTGGTAGGTGGGAGGTCGAGGAAGTGCAAGGGGAAGTAGACAGAAAAATTAAGAAATCAGACGAAGCAGAGAAGGCAAAAAGCTGGATGTATGGTCAGATTCGGTCCATAAGTGTGTTTTATTTGACCTGTACGGTGTATTTTCTTCCATGTTTTGAAAACATCAGTGAATTACTAAGTAGTTTTTTTGACTGGCAAATAATTTGTTGTTAACTAATTTAAATGCACAAATTCAGATTGCTGGTTTTCATGAGAACTGGAAGAACCAGTACCTTTAGTGCCACCCTTCTTCACGGGAACCATCAGCTAACACTGACTAGAAGCCTCCACTGTTAGATGGAGGGGAGGGCTGTGCTTTTCAGGTCTCACAGCACCACCCCTCACCTTGTTTTGCTTTTAATAGAATTAAGACAAAAGTTAGATGTTAGGGTTGAAATTGGAAATAACAGTTGATTAGATGGCATATTTCAGTGTAGGTAAGAGGATGTTAACTTTGTAGGGCTGCTGTAATCCAGTACCACTAACTGAGTGATCCTGTGATTCCGTTTGCAAAGACAGTTTCCAAATGTGGTCACATTCACAAGTACCAGGGTTAGGACTTCAAAATTTTATTTTGGGGAAGATTGTCCAACCTTTAACAGATGGCATATTGAAGTACATATCCTCTCCATGGCGAAGAGCAGAGATCTTTGAAAGTGAGTGCCTGAAAATTCAGATTTTCTGTGTGATTTTGGACAAGTTGATTTCTCAGTACCTCAGTGTCCTCATCTACAAAAGGGGATAATGGCCCCTACTGCATAGATTCTAATTGAGCACAAAATGAGTTAAAAGATAAAAAGCACTTAGAATAGTGCCAATAAATCAGACTATTATTATCATTATTATTAGGTCATATTCATGCATAATTTGAATTTATACACAGAATGTCAGTGCTAGAAAATCTATTATTTAAGATAGCATGATGAAATAAACCATAGATAAACTAAGGATAGTAGTTAGAAGTGATGCATGGGGAAAAAAACCTTGAACTAAAATAAGTAGAGTGATGTGTATATAGATAAATAGATAGATAGATATGAATTTTAGATGGTGGAAAGAACATGTATGTGTATGTTATTTCTAATTTGTGGTTTTATTTGAATAAAAGAAGTTTGATTATTTAAGTTTTATCAAAGAATGTTTTGTAATTTTAGTTTTGCTAATTGGAACATTTAGATTCACTGGTGTGTCCATCAGGACTCCTTCAAAAGTGAAAGAAAGCCAGTTCAGACTAGCTTATGAAAATAAAGGGAACTTAATTGTGTTGCTGTGGTTTCCCAGAGGTGCATCTGGCTACAGGCATGGCTGCAGCCAGGAACTCATATGATCTCATCTGGACTCGCTCTCAGCTCTGCTGGTTTCTTTGTCATTCTGCAGATAGGCCTTTGGTCAGTAAGATGACCAAAAGAGTATCTATCATTCAGGGTTAGTGGTTGCAAGCAGAAGAGAACTTGTCAGGCCAGATGTCCCTGTCTGCTGCAGAGGTGTGCTTTGACTCTGTCTGGCCCCAGGTGTGGTCCCCTGCCCAGCCTGGGGGTGGAGTGTGCTGGTAGTCATCCTGGCCCATGCTTCCTGTGTGCTGTGGTAGAAGGACCCTCCCCAGTGACTGCAAGCCCGCTGGGGTCTCATGGAGTGGGAGAGGCTTTCTCCAAAGGAATCAAAAGAAGGGACATGGGAATGTGTGCTCAGCAGACTGAAACTGTTAGGAATTCAGGTCTTTAAACACAGGACACGGAAGAATTCAGACTGTAATTTTTGATTTTCTTCTGGCAATGAAACAACTTTCTGCTTTCTTGAATTAAAGAAATTAATACAGAATAAAGGAAATAGAAACAAAGATTCTAGCTGTGTATTGATGAGAAGTAGGTGACATCAGTAACCCTAACCCTAAAATCTCAAGACAGAGGCATATCATGCTTTTACAGAGTGGAACAGAGGAAAGTGAACACCTAAGTACCTACGGAGAGGAATGACGCTGCTTTCAGGAGATAACACCAGAAGAGGGGGTGACACCTGCTGCCAAAAACACAGGAAGTCTGCTGAGGGAGCACTTGGACTTCTGGGCCCTCGCACTCCAGCCAGAAGACTGTCTTCTCCAAACCTCAGGATTTAGCAGGTTATTCTCTGGAAAAGTAAAAACTGTAGAGAATTTGGGCAGGGACACAGGAACAGTGAACAGCAGGGTGAAATGAAAGTCTGCTCTGCAGGTAGGGCACCAGAAAAAAATAAATGTCATACACAAAGTGTTTGGAATAAGAACAAGTAAGAGGCTTCTCAACATCAGTACTCAGATGGAAACAGCGAAATATAATAGCAGGACATACAAAAGGCTTGCTATTTTATCTGTCCCAACACACAGTGATTTCAAGTGACAAAGTCTGAGTCCTGGGCTCTCTAAATGGCCCTTATTTTTACTACATGTATAACCTGGGTAATTATAAATAACAAAATGTCAATATAAAATGTTAGCTTGTGTCTTATCTTTCACCCGTGAAGAACCCAGTTCTGATGTAATTTTCTACTAGAAATTAGAGGAAGTATCAAAAGTTTAAATTCAGCATTTTTCAAATTTTATTAACTTTAAAAATACTATTTTTAGGATTCAGTGAATATTGTTTTTGACTATGTAACTAGTAAAATATGTTGTTATGCTATATTTGATTAAAAGTTGTCTCCAAATTGCAGTTTGAGTTTTTAAAACATTCTCTTTCAGTCTGTAAATATAAAACTATGGAATTTTGAAGTGAACCTTTTCCTTTTTGGATTAGTTCTAAAGCTTAATGAGATGGAAGATAAATGCCTTTCACACTAAAAAGATAATATTTTATTGCTAATTCTACTATAAAGAGACCAAAATAATATAGAAAATAAAAACTGAAAGTGTGCCAGAATTTTTCTTGCCAATATAACTTTTAAAATTGTACTGAGTTCCTTTTGCTGAAAATCCAGACCAACTAGTGTATTATGGATTTTCCAGGTAGTGACCTTGCATAAAGTATTTTTTTTTTGGTAGTTTTCTTTTGGCTCAGAGAGGTCACGAATTTTAAATTAGAATTACAGAACTGGAAGACATCCCTCTTACTCATTTTGCAAATGAAAAACTGAAGTCCTGAGAAATCATGATTTATCCAGGGTCACACAGCTAATAGTGAGAGTTGGATGTGAATCAGGGCCTCGTGGCTGTCGCTTCAGCAATCTCTGTAAAAGACTTCAGGTTTATTTTCACTACCGTTCCATAATTTACTGCACTAGCCCCAGTTAGTGAATTACAAGTTTGTGTTTAATCTCCTAAAGCCAAGGGAACTTCTGGGATTAGGAATACTAACAATGACAAAAAAATATGGCTTGCAGGAAGTATTTTGAAGCATGGTAGGCTAGAGTGGGAGATCTCCCTTGATTAGATTCTCATTCCTGTAGGAGGAATTCTTTGGTTTGTTATTCTCTAGGACCTGATTTAACTTCTGGAAGATTCTTCCATGGCCAGTTTTCTCCAAGGTCACAACTGTATGGACACAGGGAATAGGTCCTTGGTGGATGCAATTCCCTTTGATTCCTACTTTCTGCCCATGCATTTTGGAGGGCTTTAGCATTGTTTTAAGAGTCAAATAGTCAGAAGCTTATAAGTAACACTTGTGAGATTTTGGGCAATTCTGTTTCTTCCAGAACTTAACTGGCTTTTGTTCTATTTTCTTGGAGTTGATTCCATGTGCTAGTATAATCCCTGGCTGGCAGAGGCAGCCTTATAAGTATATATCTGAGTGTTATGGTTTAAATATGAAAGGTTCTCTAAAGGCTCTTGTATTAGGGGTTTGATGCCAAATGCAGCAATGTTAGGAGGTGGGGTCTGGTTGGAGGAAGTAGGTCACTGGGGGCTTGCCTTTGTGGGGTATGTCTTTTCTTGGACTCTTTCCCTTTCTCTCTGCTTCCTGGCTGCTAAGAGGTAGGCAGCTTATCCCTGCAATGCTGTTTCTACCTTGGAGTCAGCAAACCATGGATTGAAACCTTTGAAGCCATGAGCCAAATAGACCTTTTCTTCTTTATGTTGTTTATCAGGTATTTTGTCCCAGCAACAGAAAGGAAACTAATACAATTAATGCCCTCTTCCTCTCTCAAAACTGTTCTGGTTTGGCCTACTAATTGTATAGTCTCTCCAGCTGCTCCTTTCTCTTATTTACCTCTCCCTCAACTTACTGGGGCTCTTATATGAACAGATTTTATCTGCCCCTAACATATTTGACCTGGTCTGTAGCAAAGCTTTACCTGAGAAAATGTAATAGCCATTTTTGTTCAAAGCTTTTTTTCAGTCTTCTCTCTTACTGTGTGAAATCCAGAGTCAATCGTCTTTTCTAACTGTGTTAGTCAGCTTTCTATTGCTGTGATGAAATACCTGCGAATAACATGGTTATGGCTATGGATCATGTTTTCAGAGGCTTCAGTTCCATTGCCTTAGCCCTGAGGCTGGGCAGAGCCATCATGGCAGAAGGGCTTCGCAGAGGAGAGCTGCTCACCTCATGGCAACCTGGAACAGAAAGTGAGGGGGAGAGCTAGATAGGAAGAGACTGGGACAAGAGAGAGTCCCTAAAGCCAAGCCTTCAGGACCGACTACCTTCAACAAGGCCCCACTTCCCAAAAGCTCGTTCAGTCTCGATTACATTACTGCCCTTGTGATTTGAGCACTTTTAGAAGCCCATCAGCTGGCCTTTGGGTGACATTTAGCTCCAAGCCATAACACTAACCCCGGGAGTCCCCTAGATTTCAGGGTTCTGTGTTTCCTTTTATTTCTGCTCTCATTCAGTGCTCGTCTGTTCACATTTCTCTCTCATAAATCTTTGACAAAAGCAGAAAATAGAACTTTGTTCTACTATTCTGTTTCCCAGTCTTTTCCTCATAAATACTGTACAGGCCTTCTCGTTACTTTTAATTTTAAAAAGCAAGATGTATTATCATTCTTAGGTTTCCATAGGGAATTGACTCCAAGGCTCCCAAAGATAACAAATCGACGGATACTCAAGTCCCTTATAAATAATGGCATACTATTCACATATAATCTACACATATCCTCCTGCATAAACCAGTGATGGCAAACCTTTTAGAGCTTTCAAAGATAACAAACCGCCAGCTGCAGCACACATGCCATAGGTTTGCTACCATTGCTTTAAATCATCTCTAGATTACTTATAGTACCTAATACAATGTAACTACCATGTAAATAGTTTTTATACTATTTTATGTATACATTTAATGAGAAGAAAAAAGTTGTACATGTTCAGTACAACATAGTTTGTTTTCAAATAATTTTGATCAAGATTATTAGATTCCAAAGATGCAAAGCCCACAGTATGGTGGGCTGGCTGTAACTCACAAACAATAAAGACATAGCTTTTAAGCATTCAGTTCATTGAGTTTTGGCAGTTGTAGCCATCCATGTAACCATTACTCAAAATAAAATATAGAACATTTCCATTACCAAATCGTGGCCTTTTTCAGCTTATTCATCACTGTGTACTTCTGGAGGCAAATACGTTTTTACTTTTGTCTCCAAAGATTACTATGGCAAGCAGTATCTTTATTATGTGTCTCATGATAGTTATGGTATAACTACCTTGCTGTCTTTTGCTCAGTTTCTTCATCTCCAGCTGCCTGGCTGCTAAGAAATTAATATATATTTCAAATATTTATTTATTCTGCACCTCCCTTAAAAATACTGATTTTTTTATTGGTTAGGGAAAGCTAACTGTTGTAATAAATGGACCCAAATATATAATAGCTCAAATCCAATTAAAGTGTATTACTGTTAATGAAGTAGTACATCGGAGACATTCCGCTCCCACACCATGGCAGGGGAAAGCAAAATTTGGGTAGGTTAATGTTATCACTTTTAGTTTACTTTTGTAACAGATACCATATTGCATTTTTTGTTCTCATATCCTTTGTGTTATATGGTCTTTTCATGCTCTCTAGATAAATATTTTAGTATTTGAAACTTTTAAAAACACTGGTGCTATTTTTGTGGTAGAAATGTTCAAAGCAAAAGTAACTTACTTGCCCCAGCTTATTGTTCTGGGCATCAGCAGATGTAAATTAACTCTTAAAAAGACAAAGATGCCATTATCACCATTTTTCTTCAGTATTTTCCCATAGAACCTAGCCAACAGAGTAAGTCAAAGGTAAGGGAGACTAAAAAAAAAAAAACAAAAAAACGTAGAAATGGAAGAAACAATGACATTATTGACAAATGATATGATTACCTATGTAAAAAACTTCCAGAATTCTATAAGTAAATTTTTGGGTTTAGCAAGATTTTTGATATAAAGTCAATATAGTAGAGCCAGTTGCATTTCTATAAACCAGCAACAACAAAACAGAACGTAATGATAATATCCAACAAAACATTGATATATTTATCAAAACTAAGAAATTAACATTGGTTCAAAAATGCTAACTAAACTACAGCCCTTGTTCTGATTTTCCCAGTTTTTCAAATGGCGTCCCATTTCTATTCAGGATCCACTCTAGGATCCCACATTGCATTCAATGGCTGTATCTCTTCAGTCTAATTTGTGTGCTATTTCATGATTTTTTTGTTGTCCTTTGGGGCCTTGATACTTTTGAAGAGTGGTGGTCGTATCTGTAGAATGGGCCCCAAGTTTTTTTTCTAATATCTTCTCATGAGTAAATTATGTTAACATGACACTATTGGTAGTGTTGACCTCGACCATTTGGTTAAAATGGTTTCTACCAGATTTCTCCACAATAAAGTTACTATCATAGTCCCCCTTTATTCATGGGGAATATGTTCCAAGACCTCCAGTTAATCTCAAAACTGCAGATAGTACCATACTCTATATATACTGTGTTTTATCCTACACATGCCTATGAGAAAGTTTGATTTATATGTTAGGCACAGTAAGAGATTAATAATAATAGCTAAAAATAAAATAGGACAATTAATATACTATAATAAAAAGTATGTGAATGTAGTCTTAAAATATAATTTTTGTTTTTGTTTTCAAGAATATTTGGATGCTCCACTCTGTTCACTGTACCTGGTTTTACCATAGGCCCTATATCTGTCCTTCTATACTTTATGCCCTATTTCCTCCTTTGCACTACCAT